GGTGGAGAAGAAAAGGAGCATAATCCATTAAGATGAGTGGTCCTCACTCTCATATGCTGATAGATACTTAAAAAGATAAATAACTGTAAGTTCTAAATGGGCGGCCCTTTAATGATATGATAGAGACCGATTACAGCATCAGATGACTCAATTATTTCGAGTAGACCAAACATGAGAATCCTTTCAATGAAAAGAGAGGAAAAATGACAGATGACAGCACAAAGTAGAGAAAATGGCATTCAATTATGCTTCTTTTTTTTCTGACTTGTTCAAAGATAACGATTCTGGACAATTGAAGTGATCTTCGTGCGCATGAGCATCCATGTCTAGAAAATTACTCTCTTTTTTTTCTATGAATGGAAGATATTAACAAGTTTTTTTTCTGAAAAGAATTTCACAATAGTTGATATGGAGTGCAGAACTTCTAACAGCTTTTTAGATTTTTTTAAGAATAAAGCTGTTTTATGAAGCAATAAGAAAGCCGTCCCAAACGAAGAATCAATTTGATCTTGATTTCAAGGAAGCTTGAATCATTAAACTCAATCTCAAATTTATTTTTTAATACCTTTTATTGATTTTATTTTTTTCAATCTTGTCAGGTAAATCATAATCCAACTTGTATAATGCATCCATACATTTAAACTCATATGTATAAAGAATGCTCATATTGATGCTAATTTGAAAGTCTTTATTTATTAAAAATGTGAGTGATGCACATTATTATTTTTTTATTTCTTAGCTTTTGTTTCCGGGTTCATTTCAGTGTAAGCATTTCAATGATAATGATCCTACTAAGAATAGGATGTGTATTTTAGTATTTTAATTACCTCTTTAAATTTAATTTTGTGAAATCCCTTACAAAAATAAAGCTACACTCTTAAATAATCAAGGCATCCTTTGGTATAACGATTAAAATTTCAATAGAAACTTCAAAGTTAAATGGGCTCGGAGAAGAGTAATCTTAGGAATAGTGACCTCATCAACAATAATATCAAGGGGACATACATGAGGCCAGTAAGTAAAAGCAGACAATATTTTAATAATTGAGAGTTTGAGCCGTAACAAATGGTATTAGAGCAATGCATTAGTCAGAAGATGAAAACTAAATACTCCACTTTCCCTTATGGATGATTCTGGGCTAAGAAAATAGATGATGAAATCTCTTATCTAATTAAGGGAAATTGTGATACACCTTAAGAAAATAAAGTTAAACCCTTAAACAATAGGGGCATCTTTGGTGTAACGATTGAAAATTTAGCAAAAATTTCAAAGTTAAGTATGCTCGTACACGGGCAGCCCATAGGATGAGTGACCTCTCGAGAAGTCATACCAACATGACAAAATCGTAAGATCATTCAGCCAAAGCAAACAATATCTCAACGGTTGAGAGTTCAGATTACTATAAATTTTCTATTGTAATAGTCATTTCAACTGAACACTTGCACTCTCTGTCTCAGTTGTTTTCTATTTGTATTTTGGCACCTCTGGTCATTTACTTCATTGCAGCAATTGTTTTGTTTGGGATTTCATAAATTTAGTTATTCCCTTCTTTGTGTGAAATTGCCTCTGAATTTTCTTATGTGGATTTCCATTGTAGTATATTAGTTGCCCTTGCAGCAAGTTACTTGACTTTTGAGTTCATGTGCTTGTAGCACCTATCTGCAGCATTTATTTCCTTTCTGGTACTATAGCTTATAGGTTGTTATCATGCATAACTTCTGCGATTGAACTTTTGCTGGGATTTTAATAATATTCATTATTCATATGGGTGATATTTTTTCACTTGCATCTTTTGTACTTAGCAAATAGAACTTGTTGAATTTGACTGGAATAGAAACTTAAAAATTAGAAAACTTTTTATACTCGTCAGAATTCAAATGTATTGGGGTTTCATTTAGAATGGCTTTCTTACTCTTTTTAAATGCCATTTTTTAATAAAAAAAATTTTTTGAAATTAAAAATTTTATACTAAAATTATAGCAGGAAAATTTTACAAACGAAGTTTGAATTGAATCTCTTAGATTTCAACCAAGATCTTATTTGGGATGACTTTCTTACTGCTTCATAAAGCAGCCTTATAGCCAATCCAAGAAGATTCTTAGAAATGTTTTCTTAGTCCTTTGTGAACTATGAATAGGATCTACATGGCATGCTAAGATCCTAGAACTATGACTTTTGCAATAAGAATTTTATTTTTCATAATTTTTTTACATATATTAGTCAGAAATGTAGTCTTTAAGGACTTAACAAAATTTATTTAGTTGTTGGTTCTGTGTAAGAATGAAATATTGCCAAGCATCACATATGCTTGGTTTCTATTTTATATGTGAACTTGGACCTGGCTAAAATTTCTGTTTGTTCATTATTTTTCAAGTGATATTTTAAATTTTGACAACTATTATATTTTCATTGAAATAAAAAACACATGGTTTAAAAAATTAATAAAAGAAGCAACTCGATAAACATAAGATTTAGCCTGTATTTAAATTTGAACCTAAACCGTAATTAAGGTTAAAACTATTAAATTTTCTTATTATCTATTGACAGATTATAAATTATTATTGCTATCCATTAAGATACATATTATCAATTTAATAGTAGTATTATAATTTTTATATCATTTGTATGATTTGAATAAAGAGATATACATAAGTTAATTACTATTTATGGTATAAATCTATTAATAATGTGAATAGGAGGCATGAAGAAATTAAAATAGATTATAAAATAACGGTACATTGTAGCCCATTAAGTCTTTCTATGGTGATCATTAAGAAAATAATTACATTCATTATGATAATTACTAATGAATTAGGAATTCTAAGAATCTCTCATAGTATTCCAAACTTTAATGTTTGTAATTTGACATTGTTTCTTAGAGCTTTTGCCACAATCATAGATTCCTCCCTTCTTTTCATCTCTTCTTCATCGATTTACATCCAAATCCTTATCAAATCATCCTCTTCATTTTGTTGTAGAATTAGACTTATATGCCTGAATTGTATCTATCATTAACGGCGGTAGGTTTCTTGTTGCTTTCCCTTATTTCATTATTATCAAAAAATTATATAGCATAACATTAGAATAATAATAAAAAAAATTTATTCCTTCCTAGGTAGTAGTATGACCATTTTTTATAATTTATAATAGCTTAAATTCTCTAAAGCAATTCATAGCATCTAAATCCAAATCTAATTACAAAAATATGAAGTCAATTTAAACAATCCAATTATATAATCATTCATCTTAGGAGCTACATGCTATAAGAGTTTATTATGCAAAAATATGGCATATCCAGCCACTTATAAAGTTCAACATGACTAAGGTTTTATTTGTGACGGCTTTCTTATTGCTTTATAGCAACTTTTTAGTACAAAAATTTTAATTTTTTAACTAAAACACTGCTTTAAAAAACAATAAGAAAACCGTCTCAAATGAAGCATAAATCTATTACTGAGGCTACACTAAACTTTTCTATTATTTTCTTAGCTTCCTTGACCTTCTCTAACACTACAAAGTTTAGCCTACTAGAAAATATTAACAGTAGATAGTGAGTCTATTGACCCACCAATGACTCCAAATCAAACATTTAAACCATATTATGTAACTATGGTTAATTATGCTTGATGTCAATTATTAAACATAGCTTAGTACGTATAACATGTTAGCACAACAAGGTGAGTAAATCATCATATTATATATGAAAACATTATGAATCATAATAGCACATAATGATAATATAATTTGACAATATGATAAAACATATTAAAAAACATGCATTGAAATATTTAATATATCATAAGAGGCATGTTATTATTGCATCATTTCATTTCTATTTATTAAAACATGTCTTTTTGTTCTTTAGTAAACACATATGTTATAAGTAAATTCATTCAACATGTCAATCATAACATATTTATTCATAGATTATACCATCAGATCACACAACTTGATACTTTCTTCTTCTTAATTTTACACAATCAAAACACTGAGCATGAAAGTCTCTTTCATATGCTATGTAGGTTAGGACCTCATCACCTCATTATCTCAATGCTTAGCCTGAGCTCAAGCCATCCTAATCACATATTGATTTTGTTATTTATTACTGATAGATAATATTAAATAACTATGATTATAATTTATTAAAATATTAAAATAATAATTCTTCCAATTTAGATTCTAAGATCTTACAACAATATATCTTAATACATCATGTTAAGCATAATTTTATACATATCTTTTCTCTCTCTAGAAATATATAATCAGAACTATTTAAGATATATATATATATATATAAACCATTAATTTAAGGGAGGTTTTAAGATAGCATTTTATAGATGGTAGATGCAGAATTACTTTCTATGGTGATTGTGGTGGTAAGCATTCAAGATCAGCAGGAATCTAACACTATCAAACTGTTGAATGGTACCTGTCATCAAACTTTTATAAAGTGAGGTTCAAAGAAAAAACTTGTTTCTTTTAGCCAATTGCTACCTTTGTGAACCACTGATGCCATTTAAGATAAGCAAAATAAAACTTTACAAGATGGCCCATGTGGATCAGATTGGGGTCCTTGATAGTCATCATAATAATTGCAGTTGTGTAATTTTAATTTTTTTTTTTTCATAATTACAAGATTGAAATGAACTTTGTAAGGTGTAAAAACAATTCAGGCCCAGAATTGTTGTTTTGGTGAAGAAATTATTCTGTGCGGATGCCGAACGCGGTCCGAAGACCAACCAAAATGAGTCACTTCAGTACCGCGGCTCGATACTACTCAGTACCGCAACTTGGTACCGCTCGGTACCGCGGCTCGGTACTACTCGGTATCGCAACTTGGTACCGCTCGGTACCGCGCTCGGTATTACTGACATGGCTCATTCTGATTAATCTCCGGATGTAGAGCTGCAATCGGCATCCGCATAGAATAATTTCTCTTTTTGGTGAGGATTGCAGATTTTACAGAATTATAAGCATGAAGGTTGAAGACAATGACAGTATAAAAAGCTGAATTACAAAAAATTCCCTTCTTACAGATTTGTTTATAAAAGGCCAAAAGAGATATGATATCATGCTTAGATGATATATTTTTATAAAAAACGATATATCTTACAATAAAAAAAAAACTAATGTTGTAGTACAAGAGAACGTTACGTTTCTATCAGAGCTAAATTTCTCTGAGAATATCTTCCTGAGTTTGTTTTATTCCTTCATAACCTTGAAGAACTAGCGTCTTGGCAGAAAACCGGACACAGTCACTCAGTAGAGCTAGAGCACAATCTGCATTGTTCTTCCCAGCTTGAGAGGGCTTGTAAATATAAATTTACATACTGCACTATCATTCACTTTGTTTATATTATCTTGATACTCTCCATGAATCTTCTTAAGTACCATATTCAGATTTCAAGGTCGAATTATGGAGTCCTCCAAACTTTCATTCATTAGTTATTTCTCCAGAGATCTCACTTAGTTACTCCTTATACCATCTACATATTGGTTCACTTTTCAGAATACTCTCCAATTCTTTCTAATGCATGATTCCACTAATCAATTAAGTTGCCAAAAACTTCATGCAGAGTGGAGGATTGATCTTTGCGAGAGCGAGTAACGATGAAGGAAGAACCCATAGCCCATCCCCACAGATCAAACCCGATGCGACCGCCGGCACCAATAGTGAAGCCTTATGGTTCTTAGTCTGATGCCAGAAAAAAACTATCAAACTCCCAACACACATATCGACGGCGAAGCTAGCTCCAACCAAGAATGGCACTGCCATGGCCATCGGAAGAGGAACCCACCGTCCATACTTAGTTGGGAAGAGATCCCTCATCAAGTTGGCCACCACTGCAAATCCAAAGAAACCATAACAAAGCTGCAAACAGTGTTGAGGAAGCGCAGAGAAGCCTTGAACACCCAAAATTGCCATGTTTCGATAGATGAGAGCATAAGGAGCCTTGAAGCTTCCTTGTGGATTTCCCACATCAAATGCTTTGTAGAACAGGAAGAACGTCACAGGAGCAACAATGCAGCCCATGGATGTCCCAATTGCCTGTGAAAGGAGCATTGACCTTGGGGATGTAAGGGTTAGATGACCTGTCTTGAAATCATGCATGAGATCTGCAGAAACAGATACTACAGATTTGATCAGACCACAACCTACAAGACCAGCAATCACTCCAGAGTCCTTCCCTGCCAAAGATGCAAGGATGAAGAGAGCCACTTTGCCATAGTTGTATGCCATGTTCATGTCAGTAAGGCCTGCACCATAAGCATTGCAGAAACCAAGAGCCGGGGCGAGGAAATAAGCGAATATGACATAGTACCATTTCACTTCTGGGAACATCTTGGGAATGGAAATGAGGGCAACTATAGTGAAGACTGCATAACCGGCGTAAGCTATCCATATAGGAATATTCCCCATGACGAATACCTCGTTCCGCCATATATCGTCGAGAAATTGATTGTTATGATCTGCCACTATGGTTCAAAAGTTGCAGTTTGAATATGACAAACAACATTGTAAACTTGTGGTTTAAGCTTCATTGCAATGTTACCTTTCTTGATGCTCTTATTTCTTGATCTAGCATGCATGCTTCTTGCTACGAAGGCAAGAATTTTGAGAAAATTGTAAAGGCCATCTCCTAGAATGAGTGCAATGGAGATGAAAACCTGCAAGAGAAGATTGTATATGAGCGTGCAAATCAAATCACTGAACTGTACTTCTTGATTTGCTTGTCTAGCATGAAAAAAATTCAAAGCTATTAACCTTATAGCCCTGCAAGCTTTTCATGCTGCTTTCTGGTATGTCTGAGGGGTACCACTTGCCTTTAAGATCACTAATAAGTGGCCACATTACTCCCCATGAAAGCACAGCTCCAATTAGAAGAGATATGTTAACTAGGTAGGAACAAATCATCCCAGCTCCAACATAAGTGAGGCTGAAATCAAAGAAAAACCTGGAAATTTACAGCTTTGGTCAGAACATATAACCATTTGAACACTATAAAGACATGACGAAGGTGTGCGTTAGCAAGTTATACGTTTGTTTCCAAGCATTAAGGCCAAAAGTAGGAAATTGTGAGAAGCCACACCCATCTCCTCCTGAGAAAAACCACTGGAAAAAGCTCCATAGGAAACTGATGGCGAAATATTTCGCAAAACCTTGCACTTGCTTCCTGAGGCAATAATGAAACACTATTAGCAATTGAACAGCCTGATGCAGATCTTGTACCTTGTTTTAAAGTGATGGAATGTCAGGTAATACTTAGCCATTTTATCCCCTTGAGGAGTATGGAAGCCATTGATTAGAACTGCAGTTGCGGTACCGCTTGGAAAAGTTAGCTTGTAGTCAATAATCATGATCTGAATATTTGATGCATTAGGAATTGATAAATCAAAAAAGGAGCAATTATTGACGGAACTTGGAAAAAAAAGATAGCATTAACAGGACATATTCCCTGCATAAGGCCTTCTCCAACCGAACTCCAAACGCATGAATGACGTCGCTCGCGAGCTCCAGCCGAACGGAAAAACTTCCGGCATTTAGTTGCGGGTGAACAGTGCGACGTCAATATTGGCGTTGCACTGTTTACCTGCGTTATTTTTCTCTCTCTACCAGATTTGTCGAAGAAACGCACGAAGGAGAAAGATGGTTACCTGAGCGCAAAATGGAGTTCGATTGGAGATGAATCACGCCATTTTTTTGTTACACTGCATTTTGGAGTGAAAAATGAGATTTTTGGTTGGAGATGCCCTAAACATAAGTTAAGATCTTTGGTTATTTACTTCCTTCAAGGGTAAATATAACCAATCAATGAGAGCTATGTAGTTTAAAAAATCACTGAAGTACTCTAACTAAAGCACTATGCTCCTTGTTTCCTAAGTTAGAGGTTATAGATTCGAGTCCAGCCTATGAGTTCTCCTTTAAACTAATTGACTAGCTCCCTACATGGAATTGATCAGCAACTAGCCTTTGTCCTACTTTCAATTAATAAAATATTTGGAATACATTTTTCAGCTTTTACACAAACAGCTCAAAACATCTCAAACAAATCAAACAAGCTATCTACCTCACTAAAAAGTCAAATCAGTAACCAAACTGATGTAGAGCTCTGCAAAAGATGGTTTTTGTTGCTTTGAACTAGAAAATTTACAAAAAAAAAAAAGACTGATAATACCAGAAGGTTTTTCAATAAGAAAGCAGAATTAGACTATCTTTAATTTACATTTGTATTATCTTATTTGCAACAAAAGGTGTCTAAAGCTAAGAGTGCTCTCTGTTCTGATATATAAGAGTGAAACCTAATAAGAAAATGAAATCTGAATGGTCTCAAGTTGGCAGAAAAAGTAGGCAATGGTCTCTGTAATTATTCACAAACATTAAAACAAGCAAACTGCACTGTAGAAAGATGATTTGAATTCCTCCATGAGCATACAAACAAAGTAAAGAAAAAAGAAAAGGAGGGGAAGACATGTAGATGACTGGGAATGAGACAAGGCAACTGGCTAAATTGATATATGATTGGTGCTCAATTAACGTTCATTTATTTGAGAAGACCTTTTAAATAATCAAGATTGTGGGTGATAGATACGTTTTATTGGATAGTTTAATCCAATAATGGCTGGTGAAAGCCACGGGAATCCTTTTCACAAATAGTATTGCTTTTGCCTGATTCAAACAGATAAACGAAATGATAGGATTTCAACAAAATTATCAACAAAGACAAAAGAGATAGGTAATAATGATCAAATTCATTTTCAACCCAAAAGCTTAAGTGTATATGTGAGGATCAATCAAACTTATAAACCAACATATGCTTTAAAATTCAATGGAGATTAAACCAAATGCTCTCTCATAACTTAAAAAGGCTCTTCTCACTCTCCACATAAAAAATATCATACACCAAGAGCCCACTCAATTATATGGAAATTCAATGAAAATCACCTTTTTTTACCTTACGCAACTATGATTGAAGGCCATCAAGTCCTATGGGGGCCAGGAATCACATGAACCAATAGGTCAAAATCAAATCATTAATTCTATTACATCTTAAGGAGTGTTGATTGAAAGGGACTAAATTTGGATCATACAAGTCACTATTTAGACTAATTTTCAACCCAAATGCTTAAGCTTTATACTAATGAGGGAAACATCTAGTTTTCCTACACTAATATTTTTTTTAACTATTTGATGTGAGGCTAACTTTAATATTCTATTAACCTTAAAATAATGGCAATCAGAAGTAGAAGGTGACTAGATAATGCATAGATTTGGCTTTGGTTTATCATAATTACTTTTCTAACCCTACCCCCACCCAAAACAAAAAACAAAAAAGGAACAAAATTGTTCACGAAAACACCCTTAAAATTAAAAAAACCACATAAAAAAACAAGCACCTTTCTCAGAGGAACCAAGGCCAAGATCCCAACAAAGCTAACAGCAAACAGAAAGCCAGTCATCCAACCAATACCAGGCTCCTTATAACTCCCCGGCGTATTTCCCTCTGTATCCATTCCAGCTTGTTCATAAGTTTTCTTATTCAGTGCCAACAGATAAGATCCAAATCCTCCTGCCATAAAACAATTCAAAGCCATGAACCAAAATAAGCAAAGCAAATAAATAGAACTATTCCAGCAATTCTTCAAACATGAAGAAGGACTTCCAACCTCCGACGGCTATACTATAGCAAGCAACAGCACAAGTCTGGACCACAGTATTCTCCTGCCTGGTGAAGGGCTTTGCGGCGAAACCAGCCTTGTGAAGTATTTTCGTCCAAGAACGGAGGAAGACAAAGGCAAGGAGGGCCGCGGAAACATTGAAGGTGGGCACAAGGCCGGTGGTTAGATTCAACTTCATCACAATCACACTGTACATAATTCCAATGGCGAGGCTTGCTGTTAAACCTCGAAGAGTTATATGAGTTGACCACGAAGGAATCCTCTCAGCCTCCATGGTTTCCAATGCCCCATGGATTTCCTCCAAGTCCTCCCCTTTCTCTATTTCTTGCGTCTCTGTGGTTTCCACCATTATGATTCCCGGCTTCAATCAAGTCAAATTAAGAGAAAATGCTCGCCAATATAAGAGCTTGGCTGAAAACTTTCCAAAAATTTCTGTTCTGCTAACCAGCAGCTGATTCAGAAAGAAAGGAGACGCCTTTCCACTCTCAGTTCAAAAATCGGTAACTAGCTCAAACGATCAATAGTGGAAACCATGCCTATATGCCTAATAGAGCTTGGAATCTAACCTGGTGTTTCTCAAAGGTCAGAAATAAGAACAGAAACCACTCTGCTCATCATCACTTACAGTGAGGAGCTGAAGAAGATGATCGATCTCCGGTTTCTGCTTGGAGCGGCACAACAAACACAGCCACCCCACTCTGAGTACCAAATCTCTTTCTTTCAGCTCGACATTAGAGCGGTTGGGAAGGTTTCTGTTCATATATGTTTCTCCAGTTCCGGTTGAGGAGAAAAGCCCGTTCCGATTGAGGAGAAAAGCCCGTAATGTGAATTGCAGAGCAAAAGGGAATATATATATAAAATTATTTTCTTGTGAGACAGAAATGTGCGGGAGGTTTTCCATGCGACCACGGGACGTCGACAGGCTGGTCGGCGCGTGGCCTAAACACGCCTTTGTGGATACTTTAAATTTTAAAGTTAATAGAATGCCAAACCAACCATTTGAACCGCGGAAAATATTTGAGTTAAGATATTCGAATTATATTTATTTAATATAATTTTTAAAATTAAATAATAATATTTTTCCGCACTCCCATATGACTAGATATTTTCAGCATCATTATTCTCCTTTACTATTATTTGGTGTCAATAATCATAGGGGTCGCCGTTGTTGTCAGCAAATTATTACGTCCGATGTTCGGATTTATCCAGACATCAATCCAGATGCGCCACATCACCAAAATACACCGGGACCCAGTGTATTCGAGTAACGTGGCGCGTTTGAATTGGGTGTCCAGACGTCCGGTCACTGGACGTAATAATTCATCGTTGTTGTCACAAGGATTATCGACTGTCCTCATCATTCACCGCAACCACCACAGCCTGTTGTCCATCTTGTTAGAGATGGAATCAACCTTAGTTCTTAGAGGGCAAAATTTATAAATAACACATATACATAATGTGTTTAATTCTACTAGGGGGCAATGCCTAAAGATTGGTGGGGAGGGGTGGCAATTGCATAAAGACTCTTATAGTAAAGATTAAAAAATAAATTGAGGTGGACAAATTGCCTAAAGATCCATATAATAATAAAAAATTTAAGGGGGCAATTGTCCCCGGCAATATGGGGATCCGCCCTTGCATCTCGCCACACCCCACCATAATCGTTGTCGTTGCCCACTTGTTGCAGCAATCCATCTCTAATGACTATCATCGTCCGTCGGCTCCACCATCCATCGCCACCATACAGCTCATTCACATCGTCATCCATCGCTGTCAACTCCTACGCATTATCATTATTAGGGTTTACATTGTATTAAATTTATAAAATAATCACATATATTTATTTTACGCTCATCTAAATAACTTAAAATTTTTTATTTTATTCATTGTTCTTTTTTTTTCCAGCAAAATAAGCATCCTCATATATACTTTATATATAACATTCCCATTACAGATGATTTGCTTATCAAAATATATTAATTTTATGGATATTAAATATAAAGAATTTTGTACATGAACTCTATTAAAAAGCCTAATCATAAAGAAACTTTTCCTCTATTTACCAATATTCAAGAAAGTTTAAAATTAGCTTGAGAGGACATCATCCTCAAGCTTAGGGGTATTTGAGGTCAGGTCTCAGTCGTTAAAAGATATATATATATATATATATTACAAAAATATTCTCTGAGAAGATATTTTGTAAAATATCGAGAGGACCTATTTTTTGATATTGTAAATTATTATTTTTTAATAATTAAAACTTTTGAAATTAACTATGATCATTCAAAGTCTATTTTTCCCAACTATATAGTCGAATCAAATAAGATGAAACAAATGATACCAAAAACATATTGGTTACAGCCCAATGGATATGAGGAAACCACTTAAAACCTTTTTATTTCATTCGAGTATTTGAGGGATCGAACAACCTCTAAATTTCATATGCTTAGAGTCAAAACAAGCACATCGATAAGAAAAATTCAACAAGCCTAAGATTATTCAATTTTGGCATCACTAAGATGTTAAAATGTTTAATGAACATTAAATAATCGAGGGAGTTAAATTCCGACAATCCAACAGAGTATCATGTTTTATGATAGAAATAACTAGAATAACTTCTAAAAGATTTTTAAATAACCTCTCTTTCTAAAAGTCTAAGGGATACAAAGAAAGATTTTGATTAAAAGAATTTTGAGACTAAAAAAATCATAGAATTCTGATTATCAATACCAAGTGTGGACACTTATCATCAACCAATGCTGATACTTATCATCCAACCCCAAACAATGAAAAATTATTCTGTTGGATAGCGTACCGAGCGGTTCTGAGTGTACCGAGCGCGGTACCGAGTGCCTAGTGATGTGGCACTTTTTTATTGGTCTGTGGACACATTCGGTGTCCGGACACAATAATCTCTCTCAAACAACGCCTAATGATTTTGTTATATACTTTATTTGTGTGACATTTCCAAGTTCAGCATGTGGTTCTACATTTTCTGACTCGATTTAAAAAAGATATTTTTTAAATATTGCATTTTGAACCCATTTACATGTCTTTAGGAGTGTTTTAATGCTTGAAAATGATTGTGTATTGTCTATAATGAGTCCTAAGTATTTGGTGTGAATTTTTATAAAATCTAAGAAATATTTACTATTTGAGTGCTTCAACGATGGGTGTCCGAGCGCCTCAACACTGCTACAGTACCAGATGTCAAATAATGACATTACGACATTACCGACTCTAGAATTTGAGTTTTAAATAAGTGCCGCAGTGCTCGGATTGTAGCACCGCAGCACTAGACCATTAACATCACATAAATATACTTAGCAATATAAAAGTTTGTGAGGGGTATTAAACCCTAAAGAACTTGTCTCGAGACTAACCAAGATGGGGGCGAATTGGTTATTTAAAATTTTCATAACAAAAAAGAATATCTTTCTGAATTTTTTTTGAATATTTTAAAACAAATTATTTATACAAAAGCAAATCTAATTTAACAATAATAAAGATAAGATATTTTGACCACATAATTAATCATAGAATAATACATAAATTTAAATGCGAATAGTAAATAGAAAGAACACACAAAAATTTATATTGATTCGATCAACCTGACCTACATCCACTCCTTCGAGACTCTCTCCAAGTATTGCACTAAACAGAAGTGACACTTCTTTTGCTCCCACAATATGGTGGATAAGCCCTTACAAAATCTTTCCACCGACTAGCTAGGTGAGGAGGAGAACCTTAAATTTTTTTGCTCCCTCCTAGAGTAGGCAGAGAACCTGAAAATCCTTTTTCATCCAGCTGATGAAGACAAAGAACTTGGGAATTCTTTTACTCCCACCTGGAGTATACAGAGAACCTTGATAGCTCATAAAGATCTTCCCAGAGCCACCAAGAAATCAAAGAAGCAACTTGAAGAAGATGACGAACACCTTTCTTAAAGCAACCTTTGTGAATCCCTCACAACTCCCCCCGCATGGATCTCTCTCTCTCTCTCTCTCTCAAGTTTTCTCTCTTTCTTCCCTAAACTTTCTTTCAGACCACCTCTACAGCAAAAGATTGACTCATGAGAGACAATTGAGATAGCTTAAATAAAGAGCCTAAAAAAAGCCCTAAATTTTAATTTGTCGACAAAGATCGTCTAGTACGATTAGTACAAAACAACCCTTTTAGCCATGACAATCACCTTTTCCATATGCGATCAGTACAAGTATTTGTACAGATCATCCAGTATATTACCAATACACTGTATATTATTATCAGGTGACATGACACATCCTGATTGACCTCGATGTGTATCAGGTGACATGACACGTCCTGATTGACCTCTGTACATTCCAATGACTACACATAAGGAATGTAAGCTATGGTGGAAGAAGTGGAGCTATTGTCTTGTAATCTTTCGCTGTCTAGCAACGAACTTCCGTAAGGGCAAAGCATCTCAGCCTGACTTGTATTAACGGGCGAGATTACAGATTTGTTTTTGGGGTATTTGAACGGTGGATATGAGGTGTCGCATAAGAACCACTATGCAGTTATTTATTTTTGAACGCAAGAATCGCTAGAATCGCTTGCGCCAATCATGCACCTTTCATTGGTTTATACGGACATGGAATTTATGAAGAAAATTTGAAGATGAGAGCGTGACGACTGTGCAAACTATGCTCGTTTTTTCCCGAGAATCTCCCTCAGCGTCTCTTTGGCCTTTGGAGTCTTCAAACTTCTTACGTCACTCGAGCAATAAGCATAAATAAATGAAACCTTAAAAATTTTAAATATATATGAAAGATAATTATAGGATTTTTTTTTTAATTTATAAACTCTCTGCAATTCAACGCCCTTTTAAATGTAGAATAAGAAGTACTCAAGGTGTCCCATGCGTCAGTGTCAGTTAGTGCATTTTCACGCACTAATCCCTACAATTTTTCCTGCATCATTTATGAAAGAAATGAATTACATTGGTTAAAAAAAAAAGTCTGGTATGGCATTGCGAACAAAGATTGGTTGTGTTGCAACCGAAAACTAGAACATTACTTTAGCTACGAGAAAATCTCCAATTCGAACAAATCGGGCCGTAGTTATTCCTTCCCTACATATGCTTCCTTCTTTATACACTGAATCCATTTTACAGAAAACATTAAAACAAGATGAAAGAGACATCCCAGTTGAGAACTTAGATGTTGTTTCAAGGAAGGACAGTGGGTGAGAATTACACCAAAGAAGTTATCTATGATCTTTGTATCTAAGAAAGAGAAATTTTCATTTCATGTCAATTCAATAAGAAAATTCCTCACTATCTCCTATCACTAGGCTCACTAACCAACCTGGACTTTGATTCTTCTTATTCTTAAAAGAAAGAAAGTGGAAACTACACCGCCGATAACACAAGACAACGAGAGCAGTGAAAGCACTCCCAATAACATTCCCCTGGCTCAAATTTCTACAAGGAAGTGTCTCCCCCATTGTTCATAGGGTTTTTATTGGTGCATTTTTTTTGGGGTCAAAATCTCAAGCATTCCATTGAATGGCTTTGAATGATTCACATTATCATTTGATATAATTTATTTGGATATTTGAGTATTGTAATGATATCAAAATTGTGTGCTTCTATCTTATAGACTTGTCTTGTTTGAATGTATATTTTAGATTTAGATTTGTTGAAAATAGAGTTTAAATGATTCCAAAGTTAATTAAAAAATTTACTAAATTAAATTTTTGTTTTAAGATTTGAGTTTGATAGAATGAATTTCCAAGTGATGTATCATATAACTTTTCATATTCTCTTACACTACCTATATGCACGTATATGTTTATACTATTCAAAAATTTTCACATATCAACATTCTCCTATTTTCACTCTTTTTGCCACAATACAAGAGTCAAGTTATTGTGATCATCTATTTTAAACAATTGCTTATAAACATCTTATATAGATGTTTGTGAACTTGTCATAAACTATCAATCTCATTCTTTTCAACCTCCATAATGTGCTCAATAGAACCAATGTTGTGCCTCCCTCTCTTGAATATACAACATCGATCATCGTTATCTTTAAAATTAAATATTAGGATGATGCTAACAAGTAGTCTTGCATTTGTGTGTGAAAACATCTTTGTTTGGTAATGAGGTTGATATTGACGATGGCATAATCATATCAATTATGCCACTAGCCTTGATCAACGACCACATTCTAGAGCAAGTTATTTGATTTGAGTAGAATTGAAATGAGTTGAAGTGAGCTATCGAATGTTCTTGGCTTGAATGATTTACTCTTTTTTGCAGGAGATCAATTCATGATATTCATAATCATGCTCTTTTAGAAATGGGTTGACGAGTGATTAAATGAATGCCTACAATTACACTAACAACTTAAATAAACAAATTACAAGTGACAATTATAAAGTACTTCATGTGGTGGTGTAATTACACATGCAATGTAATAAATGTTAATATTAAAAATATTCTTATTTCTTGGATTTGAGTGTGCTCACCATCATTTAAAGTATTAGTAGATTTCCAATATATAGAGCACTTTGGAAGTAGTTGTTTGTAATATTCTTGAGAGGAATGTGGGGTGTCAAACAACTTTTCATGAGAAAATAATAGATTCTCAAAAGAAATATTAAGAGAAAAATGTAAGGATGATCCAATATCATGAGGTGTGAGACAAATATTGAGAAGTATTGGTTGAAAATTAAATACTTCATGAAGTAAGATTTAGCCTCTTTTATGCAAGCAGTAGATAAATACTTGAAAGAAGTTTATAGGATTTGTATGGGTGATGAAAGATCCTATGATATCCTAAGACCAACATATGCCTATAAACTATACATTTACTTCAATCTGTACGTCATTTCATATATATAATATATCAATATACATATATTTGTACAATGCTTGTCGCACAATATCAATGTATGTATATAATATTCTCTATCAAATGCAATGCATCATATATACCATGTATTTCATATATATATATATTGCCCTTATATCAATCTTTTCATTGTCATATATCTTATCTATTATGTCCTATATCAAATACATATTAAGTTATATCATGTTATTTATGCCATTTATCATATATGCTCATATCAAATGCATATTTAGCCAATGCATGATATTTAACTACATGTGGTGTTTTCCAATATTAAGTCTTGCTAGCCCTTCATACCAAACATTATTCAATCTCAATCATTTCAGTCATGTTACTAGAAATTAATCTCATATCACATATCACAAGTTAGATGACTTTCATGTAAAAATTCGTCAATTCTTGCCCATGGGCATATCATGTCATTCAAGTCAATATCCTTATACATCAATTTTCATATCACTTATTATTATACTACAAATCTTATTTACAGAAAAGTTTGCTGACCCACTCTTCTTTACAGGTTAATATGTTTTTAACCATCCTAAATCAATCGATTATTTCTTGCCATCCATTTTTTGGTTTTTACAAATATTTTATATCATATAAATAATAATAACAAACATCATGTACACATCATATGCAATGATCATGACAAGTATGTTTATCCAGCATGCTCATCAGTATGCTTGTATTACGCCAAAATATATTTCAGGCCAGGTGCATAATAAATTAATGCATATTAGGCATTTCATGTTCAGATGCAATATATTCAATCTTGTTTATTTTATACTGATATTATACCACTCATTTCGAATAAAATAACATATATGCAAAATAAACTCGTGAAATTATAATATAAATAGATCAAAACGTTTAATGTGACGATATCTATAACATATCAAAAGTTATATAATGAAGTTAACTAGAGTGAAAGATATTAATTTTTTATCAATTTCAGGAGGAAGAAAATAGATAAAATTCAAAATTATTGAAAATAAGAGTAGGATTAAAGTTATCTATTATGATCATAGCATTTTCTATGTCTGGAATGATGGAAAATATCAGCCTAATCCTTGATTTATCTCTCCTCTTTTCTCCTTCTATCTCTTCCTTTATCTCCTCTTATCTCTCTCTCTCACTCTACCATGCAAGGAAGTGGGGGGAGGGGATGGCTTGGATGAGGGTTTTGTAAAAATGCTTTTTGATATTTGTATTAAGAAAATGATTTTTCTAATCCAATGTCACTGTGCTCACTTAAATTCCAAAAAAATTGAGAGTTTAGTGTCACAATACCCAGTAGTCTCAACGCCGAATTGCTCCCCCAGACAATCTTTTTCGAAATTTAATGAAATTAAACTTGAGGATATTATGTATCTTACAGATCTAATGATCAAGTAAAACACTTACATAAAAAAAATCTAGCAACCTATCAAGGTAAGCTAGAGAGGTTAACCACTGTGCTTTTCAATGGAAAACACTTCTAGTTCTATCAAGCCAAAAAAAAAAAAAACTAATGATCACAAAGATGATAGTCAAATCTTGCTTGGAGTATAAGCATTATATGTCACAAATGCTAATCTAATATAATTTAATATCGTTATGTATTTTATAAATTAGAACTATTTTCAGTTGAGCTTGAGAAAAAGCAAAATAGGTGAGATGTACCCAGATCCATCCTCCTTTTGACAATTACCTATTACCTAAGGCGATGCAATTGCTATATCAAAGGTCAATCGAGCTCGACTGGGGAAATTTCACAAACCAACGGCTCAGATCTTGTCGTTAGATCAAATTCCTGATTCTGGCATGATGATGGGCTCCCTACAACGGTAATATTCATTTCGAATTTAAACCGTTTTAGGGCTAAACCAAAAACAGCCGTTCGAACTAAAAAAAAGATCGGGGAAGAATACTTGCTATTTGTTCTCATCTTCCATAATCCCTTCCATCTAGTGTTCCAAGAACTTGTATTTTCTTCTGTTTTGCTCAAGTCGCGTGCAAGAAATAGAGAGATTCCTCTCACCTTCGGTCCATAACCCTAACCCTAGGTTTCGGCTCCGCTTGGCCTTGCTTCTGGTTGAAAGATTTGGAGAAGACTTCTTCTGTCATGCTTGGAAGAGATATGGAAGCAAGTGATTCCAAAAATGATTTCTTTGATTCTATGCTCTGCGTTCCCGATTCGAGGTTCGTCAAGTCCGGTTTTAGAATGGCGAGTGGCGGAGGTAATAATCCTCTTTCCCTTTCTTCTATAGAATACGCGCATTAGCTTTGCACATCTTGAATATGTGAGGCCAAAATCACTGTTTTGTAGCTATTGTAGAGATTTAGTTGCGGCGAAGCATTTTTTTTAACCATGGATTTTCTTCGGTTACTTGCCGTTTGAGCTTAGAAATCTTTGAAACTAAGTAAAAACTACAGGTCGTTATATTGAATTTTATTGTCTGAAAATGGGAGTTTAGCTTTAGATGGCTATTCAGCTGGAGAAACGAGTTCTTAGATACTGCTATAAAAATAGCTTTGGCTCTGATGGTATTGCTCCCAGCTCAGAAAATGTGAGCTGTTTTCTTTAGTTAAAGAGTGTTTGAAACAAAGAGTTGGCGTTGCCTGGAGTTGAATTTGGTAATTTTCTTTGACTAATGGTTAAAGGTTTCACGAGTTCCAATTTTCTTTTATTTTATGCGCAATCTTCCTGTTTATGTGTTGCTATGATTTCTTAAGTTGAATATTTTAGGCCATGATCATCTCACTTGGATTTATTTGCTACGCGAAATATTATTAGTTTTCTTGTCTTCTTTCATCTCTATTTAGTTAGTAAAGGTTGGTGGTGCGTTATTAAGTTTCTTAGTTTTGACTGGTATGCTCTCAATTTCATATAGACGGGGATAGTTTTCTGCAAATTCCATTCCATGGTGGTTAGATCTAGAGCTTTCGCTAATTATCTATGCTGTTGAGGTCTATGTGGCAGTGGAGAACAGTGATATATTGGCCATGAAACCAAGTTGTTTTCTTAGAGTTTTTAGTGAGAACTTTCATAGAATTGCTTGATGCATGGGTTGGAATTAGAGATGAAAGGGGAAGTGGAGGAGAAGATGGTGATGGAGGAGGTGGAAGTGGTGCATTAAGCTTAAGATCTTTTGAATCAACCTTAGAATTTGTAGCAAGAACTTTCGTGGAGCCACTTAGAAAGTCCTTTGATGCAGGACTTGGAGCTATTGGTTAAGGTGGTTAGAGCAAATGATGGTGGTATGGATAGATCACAGGAGGGACCTCTAATTAACCAAAATACAAGGGTGCTTAAGGGATTGCTAGAAGTAAAGGCCACAAGGAGCTTATAGAGCTTATAGGTAAGGGGACACCTGAACGAGAGAAGATTGTCATTAGAGATGTATTGCAAGATGGAGACGTGCAATGAGAATTGTTGGAATTCGAGTGGGAATGAGATGTACTGCAAGATCTCGCCATTTGAGAAGTATTGTGGGAGTCATGAGGAGTCCAATAAGAATCGGATGTACTATGAGATATACCATGAGACGTTGTCGAAGCTGGTATTACAAGATATTGCCACTGGAGCTGCACTGCATGTGTTGTCAGGAGTCAAACATGAATTAGATCTATTGTGAGGCATAGCCGTAGATGTTATACAGTGTGAGTCACCGAGAGTTGAACAAGAATTTGATACACTAAAAGACATGCCATGAGACACCTTTGGGGTTGCATTGTGAGATGGGAATGGGTGTTGTGTTTTAGTTGGAGGAAAAAAATATACAACAACAACATCAAGCCTTTATCCCACTACGTGGGGTCGGCTACATGAATCCTTTTTCTCCATTGTGTCATACTAAAGGTCAAATTCTCGTTTAAATCTAATAAAGAAAGGTCATTCCTAATATTTTCTATCCAGGTCTTTTTAGGTCTGCCTCTACCTTTCTTAACATAAGTCAAATCTAATACCTCTACTCTCCTAACCGGGTCATTGGAAGGCCGCCGTTTTATGTGACCAAACCATCTAAGGCGACTCTCTCTAATCTTATCTTCTACTGGAGCTACTCCAACCTTATCACGTATATGCTCATCTCGTATCCTATCTCTAAGGGTAAAGCCACTCATCCACCTGAGCATCCTCATCTCTGCCACAATTAACTTAATATTATGCTTCTCTTTTAATGGCCAACATTCAGCACTATAAAGCATTGCAGGTCTCACTACCATCTTATAGAATTTTCCCTTAAGTTTGAGGGGTACTTTTCTATCACACAACAAGCCCGATGCATTCTATTTGAGAAATATTAGAAACACCTCAAACTTGTTTTTAAGTATTTTTTAAAGAAAAATAATTTGTGGAGACATACTATGTGAGTTTGCAGGAGTTGAATGAGAATGAGATTTTCTGTGAGACGTCATCGGAAATATACTACAAGATGTTGGAAGCCCAATTGAAATGGGAGTAAGTTTTAGTTGTAAAAAAAAAGTGGGAAATATTAAAAATTCTTCAAACATATTTTTAGTTTTTTTTTTTTAAATAAATTTATTTTTAAAATTTAAAATGAAAAATAAGTAATTAAAAATATTTGGTTTTCATTTTAATTGTTTAAAAAAAACAAACAAACAAAAAATGGTGTTAAACAGGGGCTTAAGCTTTTGGGTTTTATGATATCTATTTTATCAGCCAATTGTGTCTTCTAAAATTTTTTGAGCTAACATTCCAGCTCGGCTACTATCAGTATTGGTTGATCTATGAAGGTTTTATTTCCTTTTTCAGATGAGTACTTGTTGTTTGTGAATGCTGGTGGGGGCTTGATACAATCAAAAGATTCTCATATTAATTTCATTGGAGATTCATTTTTTGAGGGAGGAGATGTTATTGAAACTAATGAAATGATAATCGATGGTGGTGATTATTGGTACTTGTATCAATCTGCTCGTTTTGGTAACTTCTGTTACAAGTTCTTTGATCTCCTCCCTGGAGAGTACTTCGTTGATTTGCACTTTGCCGAGATAGTTTACACAAATGGACCTAAAGGAATGAGGGTTTTTGATGTATTTGTTCAAGATGAAAAGGCAAGAGAAAAATTAATCCCTGATTATCTCTCTTGTTTTCTTTGTTTTAACACCATTAAAATTTCTGAAGCACCTCTTTCTATGTGGCAACTGCAGATACTCTCAGACATTGATGTGTATGCTATTGTAAGGGCAAATCAGCCTTTGCAGGTTGTTGATGTTAGGGTCTTTGTACTGAACGATGGTATGCTTGTTGTAAGATTTGAGGGAAGAAGTGGAACTCCAATGGTTTCTGGGATTTCAATCAGGAAAGCTCCAAACCTACCAGGTACTAGTCAATAGTCATGCATTCTCTTATGTTGATCTCAGAAGCGCCGACATAATCTTCTTGACTTGCTTCCCCAACCTTTTTTGAACAATAATGAGTTGATTCATATTCTAATATGTGATCTATAATTGTCACTTACATCTACTATAGTGATTTCACAGCCTATAATATGCAATAACTGTGCCAGTGCCCAAGAAATTTCTCCTACTCGGGTTAGGATTTGTTTCTCATTGCAATTTGAATTTGTTTACTTTGATTAGAAACAGTTAGTACTGGTTACATTGTGTTCATTTGGGTTTTCTTCATGTTGCAGAATAGAGCTCGAAATGCAAAATTTCTTGCGAAATATGAGAAGAAGATACAGGAGTTGACAGCCCAATGCAAGATGATGTCTGATGAGTGTCATGAAGCTTGGATGTCACAGAAAGCAACAAATGACCAATTAGAGGAACTAAAAATGGATCTCAATAATAAGCTTTTCCATACAGAAAATTTAGGTAAAGAGAATATGATAAAGCAAGATTGGATTACTGTATTAGATGGTGTAAATTGATAAAAAAAGAGTTTTTTTTCCTGTGTTGTCAGAAATTACCCTTGAAACATTAATGGACAAATTGAGAAATGTTACTGAAATGTACGAACAAGACCAGAAAAAATGGATTGCCACAATAACTGATTTGGATGGAAAAGTTAAGGTGAGGATTTAGTAGATTTCATAGAACATTCATTCTGCTGCCCGTATAAAATAGTTTTAGTTTTAATATGTTCTTCATGGTGAATGTCATAGGTTATGAAACAAGAGCACCACCAACTATGTCTAGAAGCCCGTGATTGTGCCAATTCAATCCCTAATTTGAACAAGATGATAACTGCTGTGCATGCATTGGGTACTCTAAAATCCTTTCTTGTCTTATGGATTTTAATTCTGTCTCTTGGAATCATCTCATGCCTTCTTCTTTTCTTCAGTTGCACAATGTAATGATCTTAAATCAAAGTATGCTGAAGAGATAGCCAAGGGAAAGAATTTATTCAACTTACTTCAGGAAACAAAAGGCAGGCACTGCCCATTCTTTTTTTTGGTTCCAGTGGTTGTTTATTGAGATAACTTGGTGTATTTTTTGTTTTACACTTTTACTTGCAGGGAATATCAGAGTATTCTGCAGATGTCGCCCTTTGAACAGGGAAGAAGCCTCATCCGGATATGCCACCGTTGTAGATTTCGAGACGGCCAAGGATGGCGAACTTGGAATCATCACCGGAGGATCCACAAAGAAAACCTTCAAATTTGACAGAGTCTACACTCTAAAAGATGATCAATGTAAGTGTTTGGTTAGTATCCAATTTACTGAAATATTTTGGATAATGCTGAGTATTATAATAATAATCAGTGTAATATATTGAAGAAAAATTTTACAAATGGTATTGTCATTCTATGAGCAGCTGATGTGTATGCTGATGCATCGCCACTGGTGATATCGGTAATGGATGGTTACAATGTCTGCATATTTGCATATGGGCAGACGGGCACCGGGAAGACGTTTACAATGGAGGGGACTGAGCAAAAGAGGGGAGTGAACTATAGAACTTTGGAAGAATTATTTAAGATTGCTGGGGAGAGAAAGGAAACGTTTGATTATAAAATTTCGGTCAGTGTTTTGGAGGTTTATAACGAACAAATCAGGGACTTGCTTGCAACTTCTCCATCATCAAAGAAGTACAAATTATGTTCCTATCATTATTAGTTCAAGTTCTTTGAGATCAATGAAAAGTGAAACTAATAATATCCTGTTTCGTTTTTCGTTGAAAGGTTGGAGATAAAACAGGCAGGTGAAGGATTTCATCATGTGCCAGGAATAGTGGAGGCCAAAGTTGAGAACATAAGAGATATTTGGGATGTTCTTCAAGCTGGAAAAAATGCCAGAGCTGTTGGATCAAATAATGTTAATGAGCATAGCAGTAGATCTCACTGGTGCACAGCTTTTGACAAGTTCTGTTCCTTTTAAGAAATGATATCAGCTTTCTTATTTTGTTTTTTGTTTTTCTTTTGAAAATGGATTCCTCCAGCATGTTGTGCATAATGGTGAGGGCTGCGAACTTGATGAACGGCGAATGCACGCGAAGCAAGCTTTGGCTAGTTGATTTGGCAGGTAGTGAAAGGCTTGCAAAAACTGATGCACAGGGGGAGAGACTCAAGGAGGCTCAGAACATAAATCGATCCCTTTCGGCCCTTGGAGATGTCATATTTGCCTTAGCAAGTAAAAGCAGCCACGTTCCTTATAGGTTGAAAGAAAACTGTAGACTTGTCACAAGGTTTTCTTGTAAAGATTCATTCTTTTTTTTTTCCTAAACTTTCAATGTTTCATTCAGGAATTCAAAACTTACGCATCTGCTGCAAGATTCATTAGGTACTTCTACTTTAAGAGCTATCTACAAACCAAGTTAGCTAGAATCATACCTTCTTAATTCTTAATCGATTCAAATCAGTCTACTTTTGCATTACGCAGGTGGTGATTCAAAAGTTTTAATGTTTGTACAAATAAGTCCCACGGAAAATGATCTAAGCGAAACACTTAGCTCACTCAACTTTGCCAGTAGAGTCAGGGGAATTGAACTGGGTCCTGCAAAAAAGCAGGTTGATACAGGCGAGCTACAGAAGTTGAAACAGACGGTGAGTTTGGGTGTTGTTATCTTTCTGTATTTCCCATCGTGCATTCTAGGATTTCATTCTTATTCGGTAGTTCTTTCTATTACTTTATCTTCATTTGTAATCTGTTTTTTTTTTTTTTTTAAAAGATCGACAAGCTGAAGCAGGAATGTAAATCTAAGGATGAGTCCTTGCGGAAGCTGGAAGAGAACTTTCAAAACTTGGAGAGCAAATTCAGAGGAAAAGAACAGATGTGTAAATGCCTACAAGAAAAGGTAATCATGAGCATTTAAATATGGTACTCGAAGTGCCTGTACTTATTTTCATTTACTCATGATATTTAAAATTTCGTTGTGTTGAATTTCTTGCAGAACAAGGAACTTGAGTCAAAGGTGGAGCTTCAAAGCTTTTCAGAGAGGCAAAATTTGCAGCTTTCAGAGAAGCTGAAGGCAGCGGAGGAAACTTGTGTTGCACTTCAACATAAAGTAGTTTGAACTTTGAAAAGAACGAACTTTTTTTTTTTATATATGCTTTTCAATGTTGAAGGATGGTTGTAACCACCAAAGGTTCTGTCTACAGGTCAAACTGCTGGAACACAAGTTGAAAGAAAATGAACATTCTGAGGCCCTTATGCTTCAGCAGAAGATCAAGGAGCTTGATTTGAAGGTCAAAGAACACCAGCGTTTAGAATTAATAGCTCAACAAACGGTAATAATTATGGACCAGTTCACCACTTATTCTCTTGCTTGTCAAGCACAGATACTTAGAGCTTCTCCAGCCAAACTTCAAACGGTTGTATAGCATTACTCGATTGCTCAAGTAAAATGTCAAAAAAAATGCGGGTGAACAGTGCAACACCAATATTGATGTTACACTGTTCACCCACTATTATTATTATTTTTTAAATCGAAAAAACAAGTTAAAATAAAGTGTGAGAAAAAATATACTAGGAATATTCTTTTTTTGGTGTAAGAAATTGAAGTTCGGTTGGAGACAAGTTACTGCATTTTGGTTTATTACTGTATTTTGGAGTGAAAATTGAGTTATTTCGGTTGGAGATGGCCTTATTTCATCCTTATATCATTTATGATATGAAGGTTCAAGATCTCAATTTGAAGCTCAGAGAGAGACAACAGTATGAATGTTTTCTTGAACAAAAGGTAGAATTCATTTTGTTCATATACAGTTCTTTCTTACGCATAGAAGATAGATAACATTGTAACTTGACAAACTGATGTAATAATTTTTTACGATATTTAGGTTAAGGATCTTGAGGAGAAGCCTAGAAAAGAGGAAGAAATGACACTAATGAAATCTGCAGATGCTCAACGATTTGCAAACTCAGCTGAAAGGAAAGTTTTAACAAGGGAAGAATCTACAGGTGAAACCGATCCAAAGATTCTGAGAAGTTCAAGTTCTATCAATAGGCCACCTGCAGCTCGTGGTTCTATTTTCCTCAAGGCTGAAGATACCCTTCTTCATGACTTAAAATTAGAAAGAGAACCTGAGAACAATATTGGAATGCACATGGCTTTGGTAGAAGAAAAGAAAATGTCACTTCCAGGTGAAACAAATCGAAAAAGGAGAATAGATCAAACCAAGGCGCTAGAAAGACTGACAAGGACGTCAAAGGCAGCTACTTCTCAAAGAACAATTCTTAATACTCGAAGCAACAAAGAGCAGAAGCCTGCAACAGGAGTGAAGGAAAGGGATAGGTTAAGAACATGGTTATAAGTATATTTTTTACTGTAAAAAAAAAAAAGCTTCTCACTTCAAAGAAGCAATACTACTAAGCCAAACTTTAAATGACATTATTTCTACGCATTTGCAAATCCTGGCTCGTGGAATGCAATCTGTTGTTGGAATTTGTTGATTTCCATATGAAATTCATTCATTGATATTGGTTTTCTTCTAGTGAATTTTCTTCAAAGCTTGTTATCAAATTGTGTTGGGAGTTTTTCGAAGTCAGTTCGAGCTTTTTGATCAAATGCCATGTGTACATATTATGATTGCATGTGACACTTGATTGTGGAGATTCTTAACGGGTTTTGTTAGGAGCTCCTGAAACAAATATTTTTTGATCTTTTGGATATATTGTGATTGGCATAATCAGTGGGCAATGATGTTCTATGATATTTTGGCCATTTATATTTGTTATTATGTTGTAGGATCATACAATCTCCTGTCTTTGTTTTATTATTTGATTAAAATTATTATTCAATTAATCATTCCTTTATGAATTAGAATAGTTACATGTATGATCAAAGATTAAGGTTTTGTTTGGAACAGCTTTTTTACTTATTTATGAAGCAATTTTTTAGTACAAAATTATTTGAATTTGAAAATTTTGTACTAGAAAATTACTTCGTAAAACAGTAAAAAAGTTATCCCAAACGAATTCTAAATAAATGTAAAAGCCTTGTTAGTGATTCCATCCTTGAGACCAGGGTTTCCATCCGTACTTGTCATTGAGATCATTGATGAGTTTTGGAGTAACCAATCTACTCGACACGCTTGATACATGATAAAATGATTCGCTAACTACATTATGATCCGTGCTAGCTCAAAGACATTTGTGCAAGCTTGAGATCTTATCGCCAATGCCAAGTTTGGATTGCCTTTGTTTTCATTATGGTTTTGCTTTATTTTTATTTTCACTTCAAGTAAAATTATAATTGATTCATCATCATCATTAACCTTATCCCAACTATATGATTCTCGTTTTTCATTCATTCGTATTGAGTTTTGTCCGTTGTGTTAAACATGTTATTCACTAACCATTTTGAACAAGTTCTAACTATATAATCTTTGATCTATCTCTTTTTTTTTTTTTTCTAAATCTTTTGTTTCCAAATCTTTTGATACTACTTCATCAAATCATCTAATTTATACAATTTTTATTCTTATTTTGTGCATGTCTAAACTAGATAAGTATATTTTCAATCATCTTAATTTTAATACATGTCACTCTAATATTTACTTAAATATAATCATTTCTTAAATTATCTTTTTTTTTCAAATACCAATCTTAATAATCTTATGTCTATGTAAGTATCAATATATATATATTTTTTTATAAACCTTACATTCCAATCCATTTAACATCATTAGTTTAATTGTGGTTATATATATAATTTACCTTTAAGTCTCTATGATATTCTTTCATCACCTAAAACATCCAAGGAGCTAACGAATTTTAATTATAGAAATTATATCCTTATTTATATGTTCATTATTTTGAGTAATAAATCTTAAAAACTTAAATTTATTTATATGTTCATTATTTTAAGCAATCACATATATTTTATCTAAATTGTTGGGCCTTGCACCACAAACCTCAATCACATAACTTGCATATTCTATTTAAAAATCTATTCAAATCCTTAATCAAGATTCATTGAGCTATTCTTGTAGGTTCTCGCGACCTTGGAATGGAGCTATCCTACAATTTTTACTCAATCTTGGATCAACATTAGGGTTTGTGGATTGAATTAGTGCCATAAGCTATTGTTGCAAGGGAGTTCATAGGATTCAATGATTGAAAGATTAGGAATCATAAATTGCTTTTATTAGAAGAGGATAGAAGCACTGTGTAACATTTGTGGATGGCAAGAAGATGTAGATATGGTTACTATGTTTGCAAAGATTTAGGCATATGCAAATATGGCAATACAATTTTGTGATAGACCATATAGTTTGGGAAGAAGTAGGCCTAGAATATTCAGGATAAGTGGTCATGGCTCTCTAGAATCGAAGGATCATATTCTTTAGATAGAACTTAGATGGAAATTAGTGGATTCACATAGATGCGATATTGTAATTGGAGAAAAAGGTGATGAGTCATGATTGTTGTGAAAAAAATAATGAAATGTGATAGTGCAACGATAATATTTTTATGGTAGGATCTTAGATCATTAATGAATATTTTAAGCTGCTTAATACTCTCAATATATGAAAAGAGTAAAATGATACAAAAAAATGCAGCGTATTCCTCATTTTCATGTCCTCATCCTCATTTAATTTGTTATATAATATAAGGCTAATTCAACTACTTAATTCCAACTAACAAACCACTTTTAACTAAAAGGTCAACTTCTAAGAAAAGGAGCTCATTATTTGTTAAAATTAGCTTAAGCAGTATACTTAAAAAATAATTTAAAAATGAGCAAAATCGTCAAATATTTTGGCACATTCTAAATAAGCCAAATGCTTAATCTGAATACCCTTTATTATTTAGGGTATTCTATTTAAAATAAATAAAATAATATAAATGGAGAGAAAGAGAAAAGAAGAGAGAGAAACAGAGACAAATATATATATATAGGAGAGAAAGAAATACAGGGGAGAGAGCCACAAGGATGAGTAAGAGAGAGATGAGGAGATGCAATCTTGTAATCGGAGAAAAAGGTTATGAGTTCAAGACGGTTCTGAAAAAAAAAAAAATATTGAAATGTGATAGTGCAACAATAACATTTTTATGATATGTTCTTCGATCATGAAAGAGTATTTTAAGCTACTAAATGCTCCCAAAATGCAAAAAGAGTAAAATGATTCAAAATAAATAATGAAATAATTAATGACATGATTGAAATTAATTAAGAACTATATCTTATCTTATGGCCATATCATAAACTACCCAATTAGCATAAGCTTCATCATTGCCACTAAAGCCAAAACAATGGCTTATAATAAAGAAAATTACCAATTGACTATCATAAAACATCCTAATCTGTCATATTTGTCGTCAGATTAATTAATTTTGATCTGGTCTTACTTCTATGACATGTTCATAGGCAAAATGTTTAAAAGATAAAGCCAGTTTTCTTATATGGGTTAAGATATTTTTTAAAAAAAAATAAATTTCTCCAGTACGCACATAGGTACAGCCGTGAAGGTTCTTTGTCGACGCTTGGCTTTGGTTATATTGGAATGCCATCTGGTTGTCTTCTATAATTGGAACAGGTTGCCCTCCTTTAAAATAGAGAGAACATTTTAGAATGTTGAAAAGTTATTTGTTTGTTGTGAAATAAAAAGTTGGAAGATGTTGATGTGAATAATGGTGAATGATAATTATAAATGGTCATTTTCATAGAAAAAGGAGAAGGAATAGGTTATTGAAGTAGCTCATTGATTGGCGGAAGCTTGGAATTTTCCTTGATCGGAGGGGACCAGTGTTGTCAATATTTGACACGACACAAAAACCCGATTCGAGCCAAAAATTTCAGGTCCGTTTCAACACGTTTGAGAAAAGGGTCAGTCAGGTTTATGATTTCGACCCGTTTGTAAAACTAGGTCGGGTTTGGGTTGACCCGAAAACCCGAATCCAACTCGATTTGACTCGGGAACATTTTGTCATCCGTCTTGTTAAGTTGTCATCCGTTCATCTGACGTCCGTGAGAGTTGTGCCACTACAGTCGTCCATCCGCGATTTTGCTGCTGCTATATGTACAACTTCCGGATGAGTGAGCAAATGCACTTAAGCAGTTCTGTTGGCGCCACGCAAGAAGTCCCTCCATCAACATGCAACAAGCAGTCCCGTCGGGGTCGTCGACGCGTAAGTCGTCTCGCCAACCTGGCCTGCCCGTCCGCACTCCACACTACCGTCCATACGCACCGCGAGTCTACAAGCTTGCCTGTCGATCTGCACTGCCGTCCTCTCTCGTCTTCGATGTCTCGTGTTTCAATAATTAATGGCATATTAAATAATATAGTGGCATTTTAGTTTCACATCAATCCATTGATATCAATTTAGCATTCAAAATTCATGGTCATTAGTAATTAATTAATCTTATATGTCATACATATCAATCAACAGTCATTAATCTTATCCCTCTTATCGATCATATACTATATGTGCATGTATCAATCTCATATGTTATCTCTACACACACATCAATGTTATATGGTCTATATATCATTGCTATCAATGTATACATGCATTAATGTAAGATTCAACAAACCATGACAGCCAACTTTAATGTGGTATTTTCATCCTTTAATTTGCATTCATTGTATCATTATATTATCATCATTATCATTACATTAATACATCATCTTTATAATTATTATAGGTGGCTTTTAGTAAATTATTAAATCATTAAGTCATTAAGAGTCGTCACCCTCTATCTGTTAGAGTAATCAATCATCAATTGCAGGTACAACCAAGACAATACTATAATTCATTTGTAAAGGAAAGCATGCTGGCCCACCTTCCTTTGCAGAGCATTATATTTTAAAATCTATTCCATATTAATTATAGTGTTGATAGTCATCCTTCCTTACTTACATGCAAATACTACATTTATCTTATATCAGTTAGATCAATATCTCTTTTATATGTGAAATGCAACATGAAATACTTAAATCTATAAAATATAGAAAAATATGTATATTAGTCTACAGCTTTAGAAAATTATAACTTTTATTTTACATGATAAATTTAATAATATTACAATTATATTGCTCATATTGATGATGTAATAACCCAAAGGTTTATTTTTAAAATGAAAAAATATGAAACATATGAATTTATGTTTGAATTAGAGCACTTCAGTGCAGTGCTTTGTAGCATTGCGATATTATATATATATTTCCGCGGGATAATTTTGCGGGAAAGTAGCCGTCGTAAAATTTTGCGGGGAAATTAGTCGTCGGAAAGCCGCCGGTAAGCCGTCGGAAAGCCGCCGGAAAATTTTGTAGGAAATAAGCCGTCAAAAACCGCCGGAAATCCGTCGGAAAGCCGCCGGAAACCTGACCGCCGGAAAGCCGCCGGAAAATTCCGCCGGTAATAAGTGATTTTCCTGTAGTGATATAATATCTTTTAATTAAAACCCACACCATTCAAATAAAATTTGATTTGATTTGATCATCTATGGATCATACTGTACGATGTAAGATCAAATAATACAATATGCTATTATCTCAAATTAAATTGTGCATATAAATCAAGTAATATTTGATTTTGTGAGATATTACTTTAGTGAGATTTACTCATTAATCATATCGTCTGATGCATATCGTATAGTATGATACATCAATACTATGAAAATAAATTTTAATTTATATTAATTTCTAATTAGAGTGAATTTTAGAGGTTTAATTAAAAGCATGTGATGCCCATGAATGTACAGCTGATATCATTTTGAATCATATTAATTAGTAAACCCTAGGAAAGAAAAATCAAGAGAAATACAAAAAGAAAAGTGAAGGGATAATTCTAATGAAAATTTTCTAGTTGTTATTCCTGCACATGTTATCCTTCATTAAGATATCTTCATTGTTCTTAATTAAGAGAGATCTCAAATCTAAAAAAAACCTAATTTTCTAATGGACATCACCTAACAGAGTGTGCAAAGATTGATCAATTCCTTACCTTCATAGAGGAATGTTGGGACCTAGCTAGTTATACTAGAAGTAGAGAACTTCTCCCATTGAGTAAAAGCATTGGGTTGGCATAGCTTACCTTGGTCTATTGGTTTGGAGCTTTGGCTACTAACTAAAAAGTCTTGGATTTGAGTCTTATGTATGTCATGTGTGTGTGAGTTTTTCTTAATTGATTGAAATATCCCAAAAAAGAAGGTATCGGGTAGCTATATTAAGCATTAAGGAGTAATTTCACCATGTGCAATAACAAAAGAGTGATATAGTAAAATCTTTATTACCATGGACTTTATTGTTACAATTATTATCATCACTTTATTATTGTTTCACAATTAAATACATGTAATATCATTTTGATGTGTAAAAGAGAGAAAGCAAAGTTTAGCTTTTCTTATATTATTGAAATCTTGGCATTAATATTTTAAAGGGAAAAAAGTAAATCGAGCTTAGCTTACTGCTTATATTATTAAATCCTTAGCTCACATCTTTAATATTTTATTATAAAAAATGAATAAAAAACAACTTTTTTTATATATCAATGTGATAATGCTATGAAATTGTTCACATCTTTATAAAATAATGTTTTGTTGATTTGAGTGAAAATTAGAAATATATATGCATTGAGAATATGATCTGAGGGGTGAATATTCTTAGTGTATCTTGATTTGTTGGGCCTTAACTTTTGCATGATCACCTCACTAATTATCTCATGGATGAAAGGAGATTTGTAAGCATGTTCATAAGCCAAAGATGGAGGAGATTGAGTAGTGTTCATAACAACATACTTCCCTTGGTGTGCAAACAAGTAGGGTAGCTAATGTGAGCTGCAACTACTATTGAAGAGAAGCTTTGATTAGGCTGGATAGGTTGATAGTTTGTTGGTAAAGATTATTAATAATGGCATCGACGTTATCACAATGCCAAAGAATGTTGATGTGTTAACTCATTAAGCTTAGTTGGAAAGGGAGAATACACATGTCAAAGATTTGTAAGGAGTAAGGAGATATAAAAGAAATTGAATCCAAGATTTATTTAATAAAGTGGCAAAGAGATCAATATGAAAAAAGAAAAAGAGATACAAATGATTATTAGCATATAAAGAGTTTTAGAATGGTTAGAACAATCAATTAATGTCAATTATATAATTGACTAAGAAGGCATATTGGTCTTTTGGTGGAATACATAGAGTGAACCCTTACAAGGCTAAGAAATAGAAGGGAGAATCATTGTATTAATCTTAAGTATAAAGGAGAAGAAGAGTGTTCTTATATTTATGCTACAATAAAATCTTATAAGAAGATAAGTAAGAAGATGCAAGTCAAGCTTTGTAGAAAGGTGGTAGCTAAATGTTGTTGAGTATAGTAGAGCACTATGAGTTAACTCTAAAGTTATATCTAAAGTCGGAGGTAGCCTTATAAAGAGAAGAAATTGAGTATCAAATAAAACAGTGAACAAGAATATATAATTGAGAGTCTAACATCTTAATAGCCTTTCTCCTCACCTCTCTAAACTTTTTATGATGCCTTCCTATGCTACAAATTAATGGTGGTTTGCTTGTTAGGTAGAATTAGTAGTAAAGAATGTAAGCAGCTTGCAAAAATATGTCGTGCTAGAGTATTATGTTGTAGATGGTACACCCACCACCTTGGCACATTATTTTGATTGTGGAACTGGTCATAGGAAGTGAGAACATTGATTATGTTTATATTGTGATGAAGATGAAGTGTATCCTCATTAGTTTGGATGCACTGTGGCACAAAATATTATGCTCTACTTTCATTTATCCAAATTGGTAGCATAAATAAATGTGATGATGTGACTAAAGGAATGTTAGGGCTTGCCATTAATGATGAGATAACAGAGTGTCCCATTACTTTCCATTTGTGCTCATAGGAAAGAAAGTTGAGAGGGGGCTATTAAGCCCAAAGCGAATCCAAGCAAGATGGTAATAGTCATTTGGACTGAATGCTTTATGGATGATACTCCCGGGAATATCCATTGACTATCCTAAGGACATTTTTGAGGTTCACCTGGAATAACCCACCATTTTATCAAGGACATTATAGGTTTGAATACTTGCATGTGTAGGGTTGAGATTGGCTTAGGTAAAACAATTTTTGAATTCGAGCCTTTTGACATATGGGTAGAATGTTTACTCCACCACTGGTCTCACCAGATTGCTCAATCTATTGGCATGCTTTAGATTTCATATTCTTCTACATCTAGTTTATTTTCTTTTATTATGGAGAATTGGACAATTAAATATATAAGTAATTGATCATTAATGGCATTAGAATGTATGTAATTACTCCAAATCAACCCTTCAATTGCTCTTGAGTAATAAAGGTTGTAAAGTTCTTTTACATGATGTTCAAAATGAATTGTTCTAATCTAAGTATAAGATTTAGAAATAGTATCATTATTGTTGTTGATTTTTCTCCAAAATAGTATCATTATTCTGCTTTTTCTCCACTACGAGGCAAACCATAAGAAATTGTTTACTACATGAGGAAAAGGAATACATCATGTGTATCTATAGTGAATATAATATATAATATGTTCAAGAAGGATGATTAATAAAGCTTCTATAAGCAAATAGTCAACTAAAAAAAGTAGAGATGACTTTTGAGACTTCAATGGTGTTTGAGGATAAAAAGTTTTTTTTTCATAGAATAATTACTTAATTTATTTGATAATGTATAGGTTTTTATGGTTGACCATCAAAATTTTTTAGTTTATTGATTAAAAAATAATTTTCATACTAAACAAACATAAACATTAATATTTATGAATCAGATTACCATAGTTTTTGAAGCTGGATGGCAAATTAATAGAACCAATTACTTCAAAACTTAAATATGTTTACTTATTGTATTGATCTAGGGGTGTAATTGAATCGAGCTGGATTGTGAGTTGGTTTGAGCTCTACTTATTTATTAATTTGAGCTCTACTCAAATTAATACTCATCCACTTGAGCATCTTCATCTTTACAACACTTAATTTAGTATTATGCTTCTCTTTTAATGACCAACATTTGACACCATAAAGCATTTTAAAGTGAAATATATATTTTTATACTGAGACATTAAAATATTATATAAATAAATATTTAAATTTAAAATTAAATTTATAAATATAATTTAAATTATGTGTACTTTATCTATTATTACTGTTTTTTCAAACTAAAAAAGTTTGAAGAGGAGGCCGGCCGGCCAGTCCCAATGGTGCCAGTAAGTTGAGCGACACTTCCAATGACTTATTCCTTTTCCAAAAAAAAAAAAAAAAAAAAAAAAAAAAAAAAAGACTTCTCGGAGTTCGTTTTAAAATAATTGCCTTCTCCCACTTCCGCCAAGATCTTCAGAGTCCAACGAGGCCGGGTCACTAAGCACTTTTCCCTGCCTCGGCCTTCCAAATGCACTGTTGGCCAAACGCCGGAGCTTCGAAACGGAAAATTCGGCGCATAACCGCTGAGACGCCGCCAGACCGACTGGTCCGCCATACAATCCACAGCGCTCTAACCAACAGCTATCAATCATCCCCCTCCTACTTGCCACAACAGTCCAAGGTACCCGGGGTACTGGTTCGCGCTCTCACCTCCCCGATCATGTCTCGGCCGCACTCGGCTCCTCGACCATACCGTTTCCTTTCTCTGAGGTCTTTCATCTGTTTCTTCTCCCCTACATTTTTGGCAAAGCTCAAGGGGAGCGGGAAGGCGGTGGAGATTCCGCGGGGACAGGAGATAGAGGCAGCAAAAGAAGAGCCGCAGTTGGTAGAGACAATGATGAAGGACGGCAGTGGGGGATCGCCGAAGAAGGCGTATTCGGTGTCGCCGGCAGATTACCGGCTGCTCGACGAGGTGGGACAGGGGGCGAGCGCCACGGTGTACCGCGCGATGTACATACCATTCAATGAGATCGTCGCCGTAAAGTGCATGGATCTCGATCGTTGCAACAGTAATCTCGTCCGTTTCTCTTTGTCTCCTATATTTTTTCTTTCATCCACTTTGATTGGGTTTTTATTCGTTTTGACTTACCTGATTGATTGGAGTTGGTTTTTCCTGATGATTTGTGGTTTTTTTCTTTCTTTCTTTTTATTTTTTGGGTGATAGTTTGTGATTTTGGTTTGAGCGGCGGTGATTTGGATTGGTGGGGTAAGGAGTGGGCTAAGGTATAGTGAAACTAGAAATTTACCTGTAAATATGGACCAAGTTAAAAAGAGAGAAAGAGAGATTTGCGAGAGAAGCTATGAGATTTCACTATTTTTGTTAGAAATTACAAATGTTTCTTTCTCCTATTTGTAAGTTTGGGCTAAGGTATTGCGTTAAAAGAAAGATTACACACAATTGAAATTATATAAAAAGAGTTATATAAGTGTTTATAGTAAAATGAATATGTTTAGCTGTCTTGTAGCTTATTAAAATACAAAAGAGCTCATAGCAAATTCCAACTAAAAGATAAGTCCTCATGAAGCCCCCGACGACTTCACATTGAGCTGGTGAGTAGCTTTAAAACTTAGGCAAGTTCATTTGACAAGTTAGGTGAGTAACTTTGATGACTTCAAGTAATCTTGATGCCGAGTAAGAGTATTACCAAGTACTGAAGGAATGTGACGAATAGCTTTGATAAATTGATTTCACTGGTGGGATCATCATTACCATACTTCAATTTGCTTTGCACTAAATTTAATTGATCAGCGAGACCTTATTAACCCGGTCTAGACGACATTTAGTGTACGTTCATTCCTAAATTCTCTTGTATATTTGAAGAAATCTATACAAGAACAATATAATAACATATCATCTTGATGAGTTGGCACATTAATTGTGATTAATTATATGAATTTGACCGAGTTAATATATTTACTGTTTTAGGACTATAAATACTCAAACTTTTTTCTGAAGTTCTTGCCCAAACTTTTCTCATACCTTTGAAAATGTGAACAAAATCGAGAAGTATACTAGCAAGAAGGTTCCTTTGATGCCATTTGAGAACTATAAGGAATGAGAGAAACATAAATCTGTTGGTGAATGTTCTTCTGTGCCATCTTGAAGATGATTAAGGAGGAATAAATTGAGGTTAATGAGAGTTAGAAGAATGAAGCTGTTATTAAGGAGTAAATCTTTGTGATGTGACACAAATAGGAATTGCAAGGGATTAATAAAATTATTGCAAAGCTTGCCACTTTAAGATTAATGAACCACAATAATTAATTTTAAAAATACTCAATTGATGTTTTTCTTTGGCATGCAGTTACAATTTAGGAAAACAAAACAACTAAAATAATATAAGGAAATACAATAAAGCTAAATATGCCGTAATAAGAATCCACCGGTTGATATTTAGAACTTTCACCTAGAGTTTTCTCTCACTCACACTCTATGAGAGGCTATAGCGGAGAGAGACTTTCAGCAATCCAAATGACGCTATCAAGAGAGATAGGACGTTGACGGTCTTGATCCACGGGAAGGTAGCCGGAGAAGGAGTCACAGGTGGATTTCCAATGAGTTGCCACAGTTCGGAGGGTCGTTGTTCGTCGATAGTCTCGGCTAGGTTGAATAGTATGCGGTCGACGTAATCGTCGACAGAATTTTCTAGTTCCCAGTGGGGGTCGAAGAACAACGATCGAAGAATATCGATTTTCCCTTGAGAATCGTATGTGAAATCGTGGTCGACTACGGGATCGGCCATCCATGATTATTGGAGACTCCTTTCTTGGGATCCTTGGAGGAGCCGGCGGCTTGTGAAGTAGGGAAGGAGGGGAGGGGCCGGTGGTTTAGGGGTTTCAGGTAGAGAGGGAAAGGGAGGGGGATGGCTAGGGTTATAGGTGGAGAATCCTTGGGTTTAGGGCTAGGGAGGTGGAAGAAATAACTTAGAAAATATGAATTTAATTTCATATTTTTCAAAGGGAGGGAAAGGGAATCATTTGAAATCAAAATTATCCCAAATAGGGCTATAGGGGGGCCAGCGGCTTAGGGGGTTCAATATATGTGGGCCCTTGACTTTAATTAGTGATTGAAATCAAATCTAAAATTTAATTTCAGATTTGATTTAATTAAAGGGGTTTCCTAAATTAGTTTTATCAATAAGAAAAGTGTTTTAAATTCAAATATTCATTTGCATTCAAATAGGAAACTTTCCTAATAAATAATAGGCTATTTTAGGAAGGAGATTAAGGGGAAAATTGAATTGAAAATCAAACTTATGGGCATTAGTGGTCAATGGCTTGGAGGCCGACGGCTTGGAAGCCTTGGGAGGCCGGTGGCGTGAGGTGGTGGGGCGGTGACTAGGGAAGAGACTCGTTTTTTTTGGATGGGGTGGAGCCGTCGAGTGGGGAGATTGGAAAGGGAGCCGGCGGGTGTAGGGAGGATGAGGGAGGTGGCGGGTGTAAAGATAAGCCGCGAGTCTCGAACTCTTTCAAAGACTGACGGGTATTGCAATCACCTTCACCTAGGATTCTCTTTCTTCTCTCAAAGCTCACAACAATGAAGAAGACAAAAGTTGAAAATTTTATTCATCAAATCATCATCATAATACAATAGAGGAACCCTTATATATATGCCTCAACATGACTAAAAAATATGACTAAAATGCCCTAAGGGCTACAACAACAAACTAACTACCCACAGGGGTAAAATAAGAAAAACTGAAATATAAAAATAAACAATACATAAAATGCATAAAAAATAAAGGCTCCTGATCGTGGCCGTCGATCTCCGATGCCTCCTCTGATAAACGTGCCAAAATCTCCTGCTAATGTCCTCATCGCTTTGGGCCCGCTTTAAGTGTTTTTCTTTGGATAAGTTACTAAAAAGTAAGTTGCAACTCCTCCTTGCCTGGATCATCTTGCATTGAATTGATGCATAACGTTTGGGTGATATTGCGATTGCATCAAGCGAGTTACTAACTTTTGATAATGAGCTATTTGCTTGATCTTTTGAAGATTTGGAAGGGGATGAATATGCTGAAGTTGTTACTGGTTTAAAGTATGATGCTGCTGAGAGAACTCTTACTACAAATATGGTTATAGGTGAGGAAGAAGTTACCCATGAGGAATTAAACATGGTGGTTGGAGTTTAAGATCTTCCTAGGGGGTTTATTGTGGTGCCGAGGCAACCTCATCAGTTTTTGATGACTAGATTGGTGAGTCTACTGGAAGATAATATCCATGAAGGTGATGATACTCATCCTTCAAGCTAACTTTGATTGAGAAGGCAAATACTGCTAAGAGAGCCTCTAAACTCCAAATTTTTGGAGAGGCCGAGAAGATTCACTTGGGTGACTTAGGAGAGAAGTTTTATGCTCTAGCTTATCTCCTTGATATTATTTCAAGTGAAGTTGCTAGATTTTTTTTAGTGTTAAGTAAATGATTTGAAGAATGAGATCATTTTTTTTAAGGAAATTCATCTTGTCTCTTTAGATGAGTCAATTCTTTAGGAATGCTAAATTATTGCTACGTTTTTTGATCCATGGTGGATCAATTCTAGATATATTGTTCTAGATCTTGTAATCCAAGTTTTGTTAGGAGGAGCTACGTTATCATTGATTGCCAAGTTTGAGAACTTGCCTGCGTCTTCAAGTCATTCTCCTACGAGCTAGATTTTCTCAAGTGTTTTCCTTGCAAGAAGAAAAGTGAATTTTCTTTGGAAGTATGTATTCTTTTTGCTTTTTTTTTTAAAAAAAATGTAAACTCTTAAGATGAGAAAGAATCTTTATTATAAATTTTGTGTAGATTTCGTTTAATCAATGTTTTTCTGAGTTGACCTTTCTGACCATTGGCGATTAGACTTGTGAAATGCTTTAATATTGTTTAGTTTCTAAAATATGTTTTACTTCGAATTTTCACATAATTGATTACCAAAGATCTTTGATTTAATGCTTAGAATGACCAAAATGATGTCTTTAGATTTGACTTTGCATCACTCCAACTTCTATGAATTTTCTATAAATAGTCCTTCATACCTTTATTTACTTCTTTACATCTTCTTCCTTTATTTCTCTTGGGCGACTTTCCATTTTCATTCCCTTGAGTGACTTCTTCAAATTTCTCAGCTAAACTTATTCTTAGTTGTTTGATTAATTTCAGCAAAGGGGATTGGGACTTTGCTTCGTTGGTGACAATATACCATACCAAGTCAGTGCATCGGAGTTTGGGAATGAAGATGAATTTGCTATATGATGGCTGAAGTCGAGTTCTCCAACTTGTTAAAGGGAGATGAGTTTTGCTTCTGCAAAGATCGGTTTAGACTTAGACTTGTGACTTCCTTTCTTTTTGGAGGTTTCCTAGATCCTTGGCTATTTTGGCTTAATCCTAATGATGCCTAATTTATTTACTCCCAGGATCTCTTTCATCATTTTCCTGTGAGAAATAGAAGGCAAATTGTAGCTTAGATATAATCCACATTAGGATGTAAGCCCCATGCTTGAATATAATCCACATTACAAACCAACATGAGGTAATTGAATTAAAATGAACATATAGATTAGATGGGCCCCATCCTTTGCATGCAAGTTCGCAAATAGAGCTGATAGAACCCTAACATGTTTGCCATCAGAAAACTATGCGCAGCTTTGTTATAGGAGAAGGTTGTAATTTCCAATATTTGGGCTTAGATCCTCTACAAACAAATGATAAATTGACATTGTCTACAACATGCTAATGTCAAAATAAAAGTGAAACTTTGTAACACTGATGATGGACTCGATCATAAAAAAAAGGGGTTTATTGCCTAATTCTAAATGCCAATACTTTTAACCTTAAACCAATAATGAGTTTGATGGTGAAAAATTATAATAGGAGCGGTTGATCACTAAAATCAAGCGCCTAACCATAAAGACATAGTTTGGGCCATATTCTCGATGTTGGGTTTTGTTATTATAATATCATAACTGAATTTGATCTTGCCCTAAAAATGCCCTCTCAAATTTCAAGATAAATACATTCGATGCTCTTTTTCTAGTGTTG